ATCACTCTGATTCCCAAACCAGAGAAAGATACAACCAAAAAGGAGAACTACAGACCAATCTCCTTAATGAATATAGATGCAAAAATCCTTAATAAGATACTAGCAAACAGAATACAGAGGATTATTAAGAAGATCATCCATCATGACCAAGTCGGATTTATTCCAGAGATGCAAGGGTGGTTCAACATACGAAAGTCAGTGAATGTAATACATTATATTAACAAAGTCAAGGACAAAAACCATATGATCCTTTCAATAGATGCAGAAAAAGCATTTGATAAAATTCAACACCCATTCATGATAAAAACCCTGCAAAAAATTGGAATAGATGGTCTATACCTCAATTTAATAAAGGCTATTTATGAAAAACCATCAGCAAAGTTCTTTTAAGAGTGAGGAACAGACATCAAGACAGAGGTCAGAATTCAGAGGTTTACCAATAAGACGCTGGACTTCTTTCTCAAAGAAGATCCTATTACACTATACGCAGAATGGAGTACACAATGTACTCTTAGTTTCTGTTTGATTCAGTAGCTTGTGTGGTACACAGGATAATAAAACCCTTCCATATCAGATAACCAAGATTCTAGATAAAATTTCCAACAAAACTACATAGGGCACAGATATATATATATATTAAAGGTGGGGTTTTCAAAATCAATGAAATATACTACTAATTTTATAATAACTTATTTTGAAAATGGGAAAAGATTAAATGTTCTTCAATGTATTTTATGATTCATGTATCATCTTGTAACCAAAACAAACAAACAAACAAACAAGCCAAAAAACCTGCCAGGAGAAAAAATGGAAAGTTAAAAAAATTCCAAGCCAATTGCTTGCAAATTGAATTCTTCATTCTATTAAGAAATTTAGTTGTTTTTATCCTAGGATTGCTAAGTTTGCTTATAGTTTAAAAATATATAAGATAATTCACTGCATTCATAGTACATGAAAAATTACCATTTCATAGGTGTAGAAACAGGGTACATTAATATGTGACACACTCAATATTCAGAAACTTTAAAATTTGGGAATTGAGGGAATTTCTAAGACATTCACCAAAGGCTCAAGTAAAGTAGTATAATTGAGAATGGGTCAGTAGTAACTTTCTTTTTAAAAATCAGCATTGAGACAAGAGATCAAAGTTAAATTCTTGACTATGCACAAACCCCAGGTGACAGTTTTTATTAATCACCATCTAAGAAAGTAGAAAATGATAGGGAAAGGCATCTCTTGGAATATAAAACATAAAGGGAAAGATGGAAGCTAGAGGTAGAAATTAAAGTCTCTACAAGAGAAAAAGATATTAAATTTCCTAATATACATACCCAATCCTAAGGTGCCACTTAATAATACTCAATAGATTTTTACTTAGTAGGATATGAGAAATATAAAGCTGATGGATTACCAGTTCCTTCGTCCCTTCATGTATGTATAGCCCGGGAGACCCAAGATGTTTCTAAGGAAAAATTATGTTTAATAATACAGCATTGCTATGTAAGGAACGTTAAAGGTAGAAATAAACATATTCTAATTGATGAAAATACTCCTGAACAAAAAAATAAATAAAGCAAAGGAAAACTGTAAAATAGTACTTCAATATGAATTACATATTATTAATAAGTATTTGTAGTTATCAAATTATACTTCAAATGAGATATTTAGAGTCTTAAGAATGGGTTAATGAAAAAGGTTACAAACCAAAAAGTGGCAGATTTTATAAGGAAACTAAAAAAATACAACAAATGAATTACTCAAAAGATAACAAAAATATTGCTAGAAGTATGCTAATGGATATCAAAGAGAGAAATTAAAATATCAACAGAATGAAAATAAACTACTAATAGAAAGAATCATAGACACAGCAGGAAAATAAAACAAGATCTAACTGACATTGGATTTCTTAAAGAAGTTTACAAAACTAAGAAAGCCAGGCCATTTAATATCATAATCTAACAATAAAGAACAGAAATTGTCTAGAAACAAAGACCTTTAGGATGAATGAAAACATTATTAAAGTTATTAATATAAAATGTAAACTTGGTGCCATGTTCTGGGACTCTAAAAATAAGACTTCCCACAAAAATACTTATTATACTTAGTGACCACAGTAATTACACAAAAACTAAACAGAGTTCTTTAATATAGTATCGATCACTCCAAAATAGTTGTATTGGCTAGATTTATACACCTAAATAAGAAAGGAAATCTTTAGACTGACTCTTGAAAAAGAAGCCAGTTGTATATTTTATGCAAAATAAGCACCCAAAACAAAATGATTCAGAAAAGTCAAAGTCCTGATACTAGGCAAAAAATCGTTCAACTCTAAATCTTGACATTGACCAAAGGAATAAATTATACTGTTAAATTTCATAAATCACAAGGAAGATGCTATGGTTAAATGACTATAGCATAGATGGAACAAACATGATTGAATGATTGGAAAGCTTTTATTCTTGGTTCAAAATGAGTGAAGTGAGCACCAAAAAACATTATATACCTGTATAATTAGTATATATATATATATGTATATATAGATATAGATATAAAAGATCTATCTATATATAGATAGATATCTATGTATATCTATATCTATTTATCTATG